TCTCAGTATCACCTATGTTAATTATAGTGGCTAGTCCTATTTAATTTTTTCACCCTCAGGATTCAAAATAAATATGTGGTTTGGGAGGGAGCTTGTAAAATGGGGACTTATGAGTGACTAAGAGGCATAACAAATTAAAAATGACAACTGAGAGTGCCTCTTGGTTGGCAGGGCAGGGAGCAGGGTGAATGACCTCTTCAGGAAGAGAATGGAGTCACAGGTCTTTGTGAGACTGATAAATGAGTCATTCTCTTAGAACAGTGTGCCTCGAGCATGGCCAGAGGCCTTCCTGAGTTCTTGGTACTCTACTCCGTTCAGTATTCTTGGCACACCGTTGACGTTAACCTCAAAATACCCCTGGCCCAACTCTGGCACCCTTAAGGATGTTAACTGCCTTTTGGAACTCCCATACAAAAGGAAAATCCTATTACAATTGCATTCTGGAAACACACTTTGTTGTTGTTGGAACACAAGCATCAATATGGTGTTGAGAGAATGTAGGACTCAGGAGGGAAAAGATGTAGATTCGGGTCCTAGTGGTACATTTAACTAGCTGTGTGATCTTGAGAGAATCCTCAATTTCTGTCCCCAGTTTCCCTATTGGTAGAGTGGTGACAACTCCTAAATAAGATGTGTAAAAATGTTTTGTAAACTGTAAGATGCCAGGCAAACAGAAGAGACTGCTGTATAGCAAGTACGAGTGTGGACCAGATTCACCTGGTGCCCTGCAGCAGATTAGGAATGATAAAAGTTTTCTTCTTGCAGTGAAGAAACATGTCAGTAGATAATTACCACCCCACGAGATGAAAAGAATCAGAATCATCTTTGAGCAATTCCTTTCCTGAACCTCCTTCATCTTCACTACATTTCTGGGTAAAGAATCCACCTGCTAACACAGGAAATGTAGGAGGAGGTAGGTTTGATCCCTGGGTCAGGAAGATCCCCTGGAGGAGGAAATGGCAACCCACTTCCAGTATCCTTGCCTGGAGAATCCTAGGGACAGAGGAGCCTGGAGGGCTCCATGAGGTCTCAGAATCTGACATTACTGGGCATGCTCGCATATCTCTGGGGAAGGGGCAGGCACGGGCTTCTTCTGACAAGTAAACTGATCCTTTTATTGGCAGAACAGGACCAGAACAGAATCCTTTTTTTTTTTTGTATTTTTATTAATGTTTGCCTTGTCCTTAAAACAGTGTTTCATACCTGATCAGGGTTCAGCAGCCCCCTTGGGATCTCTGGTGGTGGGTGAGTCACAATTTTTTCTGAGGCAAACGAAGTGAAGGAAGAGGGTAAAACATTGATAAAAGTGTTGTGAGGGAAAATGGGGCACTTTCAGTTCTCCTCACTAAAGCAGCCTGAGGTTATCTGGAGAACTTTGCATCACCCCCAGAATCCCCTCTGTCCTTTTACTCTGGACCCGCGTAGCTAAGCAGGCACAGCCAAGCAGAGGTTGCCCCGCTGTTTCTTCAAGGTCTTCAGTGATGAGCCATGTGCACAAGTTAAGAATGGAAGCCACTCAGAGCAAAATACTAGTGCTTGAGCCAGCTTAGACAAAAGCCGTTTAATTGACAGTATACAACTTTCCAAAATATATTTTTGTAAGAAAATGGCAATAAGTAATAATTTTTACAAAGAGGTTTCTTAGTAAATTCCAGTGTACTTTAGACTCCTGTCCACTAAGACACAGCTCCCCTAGTCTCCTGAGCAAACTCTTTTAACATTCACTAATTTTTTTAAAAAGACATGGAGCAAATAGTAATCCCCTCCTGTGACTCAGGGTAGGGTTTTCACCAAACTTGAGTTAATCAGCTAATGACAATGATGAAAACCATTGCCTTTCTCTCACCCCCTCTGCCTTCCCATCTTGTTCCCTTTGATCCTTAGTCCTATATGTAGAAACTATTCAAAACTGTTCTTGGCAGAATACAATTGTTCATTTAAGTCTTAGACCTAAATAAGCCACAGACCAGTAAGGTTCCTGTTTTTGTCTTCATGCTTTCCCTACCCTTGCTGCAGATCTCCTTGGTATCACTCTGCTGCCTGCCCTCAATTAGCAGGCCTTAATTTGTTGGTTTCTTCCTGAGGCACACAGCACCGGACAGTTTTCCAGTCCAGGTTTTAAGCCTGTTTTCTGTCACTAAATATGTGAGTTTCGCCAGGTCATTTTATCTTTCTGGGCTTCTGACTCTTCTTCTGTTAAAAAAAATAAAGACTGGACTGAGTTCTAAAACCCTTCCCAACCAGGTTGCATATTGACTACAACCCTTATTGTAACATGCTGGGACTTTACAGGGAGGGGATGAGGACCATATTTAAAAATAAAAATGCCCAGTCTGCAAGACAAATACTTCATCATCAGCCTATCTCGTATTTCATTTTTCATTAAAGAAAAACAAAAGATTGTTATTTCTAGTAAAATAGACATTTACATTCCTGTTTAGAGGGAAAAAAGCCTTCTCTCTTAACAAAGGTTTTTTCGAAGTATAGTCACTCAAAGCAGTGCAGGGTGGATTAACATGTGGCTGTTGTATTTACATTATCAAAAAATACGTATATGTGTATCAGCTGGAACTGGTTTTTCAAAGTTTCTCCAGTATATTGTCAAAAAGATAAAAGCTCAAGAAGTGATTTAAATAAACTTTCTGCTAGCTTTCCTTATCAAGAAGGGAAAGAACAGTCTTGCATCTAGACTAAACCCGTATCTTGTCCTACGACGCAAAAGAATATTCTGTGCCCCCTTCATAAGCATTGCTGCGTCTGTCCCCCCTGACATGAGAGTGTGCTTCCCCCTGGATTTCATCCAGTCATCAGATTCATGGTTTCTGAATCAGTGTGCCACCGAAATAAAAGAGTTTATTATGATCTCTGGCACAACTTGTTTCAAGTCAATGCTGAATTCTCAGCTTTCTTCTCTCTTCTCAGCCCCAGAATCTGAATTAACCAGATAGCATCAGAGACCAGCAAAGATGTGGGAGGAAGATGACCACTACAGATGCATGGCGATATGGTCTTTGACATAGGCGGCAAGAGCAAGCCAGGGCAAGTTGCCCAGAAGGCTAGAACAATACGGTTCAGATGCACCCGAAGAAGGAGCCTCTGAGCCAGCCCAGAGCTTGTCAAGGCTGACTCTGGACAGAGCCAGTCATTCCTCTTGACCAAGCCTCATTTTTACTCTCTGGTCCTTGCCAGTCACCTTCTCGCTCCCCAATAGGCCTGTGGGTTATGGCCTTTGATTGGTTTCCAGGATGTATTTGCTGTCTCTGTCTAAACCTGGCTGGTGAAATGAGACCCAGAATCAGCAAAGGAGTAACCCAGGCTACCCTGTCCCATGGTGGCCATGATAGAAACCCACTGGGTAGAAAGAACCAAATGTTGGGTAGGAAAGAAGCAAACAGATCTTTTCCCAGTGAGACAGCATTTTCCTCTGCTGCTGCTGCTGCTGCTGCTGCTGCTGCTAAGTCGCTTCAGTCATGTCCAACTCTGTGCGACCCCATAGACGGCAGCCCACCAGGCTCCCCCGTCCCTGGGATTCTCCAGGAAAGAACACTGGAGTGGGTTGCTATTTCCTTCTCCAATGTGTGAAAGTGAAAAGTGAAAGTGAAGTTGCTCAGTCGTATCCGACTCTTAGTGACCCCATGGACCGCAGCCTACCAGGCTCCTCCATCCATCCATGGGATTTTCCAGGCAAGAGTACTGGAGTCGGGTACCATTGCCTTCTCTGGCATTTTCCTCTATTTCCCCCCAAACCGGTATTCTCCATCCTGCCAGCCTCCAAACAGGGAAGAATCAGGGCAAATACTTCAGGATCTTTGTTACCTTAGCATCTTTCTAGCTTGTGGGAAACTCACTGGGGGCCCTACTTGAACCTCTGGCCTTCCTCTTTCCCTTGGTATCAAATGGCTAAAGACTATGAAGGGGGAATTAGATGGCCAAGGAAAGACACAGATTGTCCCCCTAAGATCCTCTCCTTTAAAAAAAATAACCTATCCCAAAGCAGACAGCCTATTCTATCAGATCTATTGCAGCCTAGGCCAAGTGACCGTTTTCATCCTCCGAAGCATCTTCCTAGTAGGATCTAGGGGCGTTATGCCCAGCAACAGAGAGACGTGGGCAGTTTAAAATTCCACGCAGTAATCAGGTGAAATCAGAAAATCAGGTGAAACCTTGCTGTGCTCAGTCCTCCGGTGCCATCTATGCAGCTGCTACCTGCTAAGCTCCCTCCAAATCCCTCCACTGGGCAACGGTCGGCATTGTGCTTCCCTGAGATGCCACCAGAACCTGCAGGAGCGCCGGGCAGCCAGCCCCACTAGGAATACTGAGGGTGCACAGCACGGCCTAGCTCCGTGCCCAACAGTGAAAGGTCGCTGGGATTCCACTCAGGCTGGCTGCTCCTTACTCAGCTTGAAGCGCACCTCACCTCCAGGCTCTTCTTGCCCTGTGCACAGAAGACTGGAATCTTCAAGCATCTCAATGATTTGAGCTTTGGCCTTTGGCAGTAGAGGGCTGGATTAAAGGAGAAAACTCTCGGCAACTTGCAAAGCCCCTGGGTGTCCTATGAAACGTAAAGTAAAGCCTGTCCTTCCTGTTGTTTCAGTCGATTGTCTGTTCAGACACCTCTCTGCTTACCGGGCCTGAGGAAGCTCTGTCCTAAAGCTGCTCATTCATGTTGAACCTCGGGGATGACCGAGCTGGGGTCTCCTCTCTATTGCGTCGGCTGAGCAACGACAAGGAAACAGGAAACATCTTGCCTTCCGTAGCTGCTGCAGATTTTAGTCCCCGTGGGAGTGGGAGGCCAGGCAGCACTTGGGGAGCCTTGGGGTGGGTGGGGACCCATCCTGGAAAGAGGGGCTTCCCTTTCTCTCTTCATCTGTAGATGGCCGGTGGGCAGACGTGTTCACAGGGGGAGTCTTGTGTGCTCTGTCAGTCCCGATCTCATAAGCAGACACCAGGAAACTAGACTCCAGAACAAGAGACTGAAGGTCATGAATGACCTCTGTTAGTCACAGAGGCCCTGGATCAGAGTGGGGATGAAAAACCTGAATGGAGGGAGGGAGGAGAACAAAGGACAGGAACACAGGCAGGAAGACAAGACCGGCAGATGAGACAGGAACGGGACCTGTCTTTTCAAGGAGCCAGACCCCACGGAGGCAGGATCCGGCCCCGCTCTGCCCTCCCGCCCATCCACTGATGGGCCGCTCCCACCCCTGCCCAGGGTCGCTCTGGAGGGAGGGCACGGGTGATGCAGCAGCGTGGTGTGGTGGGAACGGGCACTGGACTGAATGAAGGATCTCTGTTTTCATTCCGACGTGTCACCCAGTGGCTGTGTGACTTTTACTTTACCCTCTTTAGGCCTCAGTCATCTTGTCTGTGAATGGAGGCTAGCAGATGGTCTTGAAAAGTCCCTTCTATGGCTCTTTCCTGTTCTCCCAGCAGCACTGCGCTCAGGCACTAGTGGGTTATTCTACAAGAGGATTCTACACAGAATGTGATTTGTTCAGCTTGAAAAGGGAAAAATTAAGGCCTGTGGGGACTGGGAGGAGGGGACCCTCCGAGTCTGCTCTCCTACCCCAGTCTTTCCCTCTAAGGGGAAGGATCTTCCTCCTCCCCTCACAAGCGGCACTTGAGGTGGTTGGACTGGAGCTCTGCACCGTTGGAAACCGCCGGCAGCCCCGATTAGAGGTGTGTGTCTTCCTCTTCAGGGTCATCTTTGGTCAGGTTGTCCAGAGGCACGATCCAGCTGTCCCCCAGCTCCCCATTGAGGTTCGCCACCTTCTTCTCCTGCATCTCTGATGAGGTCTCCATCACTTCCAGTGTCGGATTGTCATGGTAACCATTCTCCACCGTCTGTAGCTCCTCTGTTAGTCGTTGCTAGAGTGAGAGAGGTGACCCAAGAAAAAAGGGTAATTTTTGAGAGTTGTCAGCCTTGCTCTAGCCTTAATATTGGCACTTGTACCCCTATAATTCGGGGACCCAAATTTAGCTAATGTGAACAACGGGTGGTCCCGACTGCTGGCCTGCCTCAGGGCAATTCTGAGAGGAGAACCTGCCCAGCATCCTAGAATTCCCAGCTCGCATCACCTTTGCCCTGGTGGCAAATCTGTGACGTCAGCAGAGGCGGACTTTATTCTCCCATCTCCTCTCCTCCACTCCTTCCCCATCAAACATTCCTCTCAAGGCCCCTCCTCACCACTTTTCTGAACAGGCAAGAACTCTAAGAAAATGACTTTCACCAGGCTGAACACGATGTGTACAGAAACTTTTGCCCTCCCGCTGCAGGTGGAAACCATCTGGAGAGACCTTTCTCTCCCTCTTTACCCAGGATACAACCTGGGTGGAAGAGGACTGTCCCTGGGAATCTTTAAACGAATACAGTGACCCAGAAGTGCCGTTTCAGTTGGGGTGTGATGAAACTAAGCAGGGGGATTTCTTTTAACGCCCTCCGCAGTGTGCAGCCAGGGTTGAGAACCCTGAATCTGGGGGGAACTGTTACAAGGGAATCCTAGTAAGGTAAATGAAAAAATTTCTGGTTAGACGGGTATGCCTCAGCCCATTTATAGCAGTGGATCCTCAGAACAACTCTGCAAGGTGGATATTCCCACTACACAGATGAGAAACCTGAAGCTCAGAGATTATGACTTGCTCACGGTCACCCAGTTAATCAGAGGCAGAGCTAGGGTTTAACCCAAGTCATCTTTGACTCCAAAATCCATGCTGCCTCTTTAATTCTCCAGGCAAATTTCCATTTCCTATAAGGGATGATGACCTCTGCCTATCAGAAAGGGTCCATGGCTTTTCTCTAATATGGGAATAACAGGGTGAAAGTCATCCAGTGAACTAGATGCTTGGTCCTCACCTGGTCCTTCCTATGGGAGAGGCGCTGGTGGCAGCAGCCATAGAGGGCCGCCACCAGGAGCAAGAAGGATGCCATGCAGACAATAGTGATGATCAGGGGCATGCTGAACCGGTCCTCCATCTCTTCTGGTGGCCCTTGACCCTCAAACTGCATGTCTCTGACGCCCACCTGGCCAGGAAAGATAAAGTGACATAGCAGAAAATGGGTTCCGGGTCTCTCTCTCAGAACTCCCATTCACTTACGAGCTCTTCCACTTGGGGTTTGGAGGGCCTGTTCCACCGCCCTGCTGTCCCCTTTTACCCTCCCATCTACATGCTTGCAAACCAGAGGTTCCTCAGCAATGAGAAACAGTGGAACCGGGGAACCGCGGGCTTCTGAGGGGCAGGCTCCTGACCCAGTCTGTCCCAGCACGAGGGGCCGTCCACTTACGTCTTCTAGCTTGTCCCAGTCGTCTTTCAGTGATTTATAAATGTCCGTGGGATGGAGCTTTGCTGAGGGGCAGAGGGAGAGATGCCGCTTCAGTGGTCTAGCTCAGAGACATGGCAGGGACAGAGGACTTGCTGTTCCTCCGTCTCCTGAGCAGGTGAGTCCTGACCCATCCCTGTGGCTCCCGTCACCCCCCCCCCCCACCCCACCCCATTCCCACCCCAGAGAGGCCTCCCTGCCCTGGCCCTCAACTCACTGATGATAGTAATGTGTTTGATGTCCACTTCCTGGGCATGTGAACCAGGAGCCATCTCTATATGGCACTCATCTTGAGTTTTGTTGAAGGAGGGTTTTACTGCTTGGCACAACACCTCGACCAGTCTGTGATTCGAAGCAACTGTATTCTGTTGTGAGGAGACCATAAGTAATTCCTCGGGGATCACGACAGCAGCCTAGGCTTGTGAGGCCACCCTTGCAAGTTAAGGTCAGGACAATGCTGTTGCCAGCTGTGACCCGATTGCCCGGACTGGTGGGTCACATGCCCTCCTCCTGGGCCAGCCCCTGCCTTCTCTGGCTCGGGTAGATGTCTCCTCCCTCGTCCCCCCATCCCATTTATCTCGTCTTGTTGAACAATGCCATTCCCCCAAGTGTGCCCCCCTCTCTCAGAGCTCCTGAAGCATCACGACCTGCTGCCCATCATCATTTCTCTCCCATGGAAGGACCTGCGGAGGCACTGCCAGGGCAAAGATGCCAATGAACCTGCATTCACCAGCCCTTGATGCTGAGTTCAGAGACCTCAGGAGGGGTAAACGCCGGGCACTCAGCTCAAGGTCATCCATCCCAAAGTTGAAACACATGCCTATTCCCTCGGCTAAGACTGAAACCATAAGTAGGCTGACAAGAGAAGGGCAAGGTCATCACTGCACAGGGGGACTTGGGAGTGTCTAGAAGATGCACAAGGACATCTTCAAGGGGCTTCCTCTATATTTCTTAGCAGAAAGAGCATGACTGATGTGGCTTTAGGGCTGAGGGTGACGAAGCAAAGTATGGGTAGCTTTTACCCAGTCATCAGAGGCACCCCAAACTGGTGTTTCTCTGACCAGACTTTGAAATAAGGATACCAAGATGAAGAAAAGGACTCTTGCTATGGCTTGTCCCACAAACCATCCCGTGGGTTTTCTACCTGGAATTTCCTTAGGCCTACTAACTCCCCAGCCCTGCTACCAGGTAAAGATGCAGGGCTTTCCTCTTCCTATTTATGGCAAAGGAGAAGAAAGCTTACCACCAAACCTGCCAAGTTTCAGCCAAAAAGAGAGCCGGAGGAAAGGCTAGGCAAGCGTCAGTGTGGTTCCCACCTTGTCCAACAAGCCCAATCCCAGGAAAACCCTACTCTGGTTGAAAACTCCAGCTTTCCTATAGTTCACTTGGAAAATTCCAGCAAAATGGACACCCAAAAGAAAACAACTGCAGAAAATAGGTAGCATTAAAGTATCGTAAACCCAAGTTTTCCCTGCTGCTTGCTTTCACTTTCTGGTTCCTAGGGGTGTTTGCAAAATAGCCACTGACCAGGAGAGGGCGGCAGTGAGCCATCCATCGCCAGCACCCACTCAGGCCTCAGCTACTGAGTAAGCACTGCGGCAGAAACCCCAGACTAAAGCCCTTAATCCTAAAGAGACTGGCAGTCTGAAGGCAGTGGACAACACGGCTACACTCTCTCTTTAAGGCAAACGCACTCACACACGTGCTGACACCATCTTCCTCAAACAATACACACACACACCATCCTGAGTGGAAGAACAGCTGTTGGTGACAGCTCCCCTAGGTTAGAGGCAGGCCGTCAGATAATACATGGAGCAGGAAATATAAAACCACAGACTCTTAGAACAAAGAAAGTTGGGCAGATTAAGCCTCTTCTTTTCAACTGAGGCCTCTGAAGCCCAAAGAGATGGGATTAACAAAGTCACATCCTGAACCAGAAGCAAGCAAGAACCAGGGCTTGGGTCAGACTCTCAGAAGTGAAAGCTCAGGAGACCTGGTATTTCTGGCCCTGTAGCAGCCCTGTGGGCGGGGCTTCCTTTAGAGAAGCTGGTTCTGACCCTCCGTAAGATTGGAAGGACCAAAAACAAGGGCAGGAAATGAACACATCTCTCAGCTCCTTTCTACAAGGAACACTCCATTCCCTTCCACTTTCAGTGATCCTGGCGCTAAACCGCCTTTGGAGGATGCAGGTCAGGGTGGGGCTCAGACGAGCATGGTACTCACACAGCTGTTGGCTCCCGAAATGTTCAGGGAGAGTTTGCTCCCATTCAGCTTTTCAAGAGGATGGCACTGGATCTGAAAGAAGCCACTGGGATTAACGGCCAGGCTGAACTTGATAAGATCTCATCTTTGAATCCTCCCTCCCTCCCTTAGGTGCTTCCCTGATGGTTCAGAATCTGCCTGCAATGCAGGAGACCAGGGTTTGGTCCTTGGGTCGGGAAGACTCCCCTGGAGGAGGGAATGAAAACCCACTCCAGTATTCTTGCCTGGAGAATCCCATGGACAGAGGAGCCTGGAGGGTTACAGTCCGTGGGGTTGCAAAGAGTGGGACAGAAGTGAAGCAACTGACGCCCCCCCACACACACACCGTTAGGTGGGCCACATCAGGCAAGGAGCTCGGGGCCAAGCTGGGAGCTGGCCGGCTGGGGTCTGAGAGCCAGGTATGTTACTGGTTACCCTGCTGTCTAAGGCCGAGTCCAGCAAAGCCAGAGACAGCGGGTGAATGATACTGGCTCCTCACACCCCCACCAGGGGCTCTGGAAAGGGAAGGGTACAGATGCTCTTCCTGGAGTCCCCTTCTCTCCGAGTCTGGGCTCTCTTACCTGCCCTATATTTGTTGGAATAACTGAGGTGGGAGAATGGGTGCTGGAGCTTTGGGGGGCATTTGATGTCAACTGAGTGCTGGAGATGGTGGATCTCCTGACAAGAGATGTGGTCCCAGGTCCCAGTGAAGAGCCTGTAGGTTGCTGAGCTCCAGCGCTGACAGTGACAGCTGGCGTCTCCCTGGAGGTGTGTTGAGTTCCTTTGACGGTGACCTGTGGTTCTGTAAATGGGGAAACAAAGCTTATGAGGAAAGGTGTGTGGTTTAAACAGAAAAAAGGTAGTCTTTCCTATTCTTAGTTGTCTGAGGCTCTTTAGTCTTCCCCTCACCCCACTTTGGCTTTACAGACCACCAGCAAAAGGAGGCAAGCTATGAGAAAGAGGAGGTAGATGGATGAAGCCAGTTGCCGTAACCCATCACAGAATGAGCGGATTGGATGAGCCAGTGTAGGAACCCGAGAGAGGTTATCAACAGCAGTGACAATGCCAGCAGCAAATGTCAGCTGAGTAACCACTTCATGTCAGGGTCCTAAGTGCTTCACAGGTACTTTCTTCTTCTGTCCTCACAATGACTCTGAGGGAAGTACCATAATTACCCCTTTCATAAACAAGGAAATGGAGGCTCAGAGGAGCATGATGAATTCTGCACGAACAAGTGGCAGAGCAGGGACTGGAATCCAGGTTTATCCAACTCAGGGCCCTTGCTCTTACGCAGGACATCACCGTGCTCTTGGAGTGTGGTTCTCTAGTAACTTCACCACGCACCCACATGATATGGCAGCGGGAGAGGGAGTGGGAGGTGGGATGGGGCGGGGCGGGGCGGGGTCCCTCGAAATGCAAATGCTCAGATTCACACCAAGAAATTCTGATTCAATAGATCTCAAATGGGCCAGGAGGCTCGTGATCCATCAGTGAGGTTTGAAGTGAATTTACTGGACTAAGACTAGCACTTTAAAAAAAAAAAGGAAAACGGTCCACTGGGCAGTTCAAAACCTCGAGCACTCATCACAACACACAGCTCTGCGGGCCGCTGCTCACCACTGAATGGGAAACAGGCTGAGCGAAGGTGCTACACACTTACGATCTTTAACCCACGGCATGAATCTCCATCTTTTAGTTGAACAACGGTACAGAACATAAACATCTGAAAGTTTCTTTCTGCTTCAAAAAGGCAAGGCAATACTTACTCAGTGTGGTCACCTGAGCTGTGAAGGTGGGACTTGTCATCCTGCCTGAACTTGTAGTTATATTCATTTTGTTTGATTCCTCCGGGGAGCTTCCTGTGGGCTCTGAAGTCCCGGGGGCCAAAGTCACAGGGCCCCTGCTAGGCTGCTGAGTGCTTTCGAGGTTGGTCGAGGAAGACAGAGTAGGAGAGATGCCTCGGATGATATTCGGATCTGGAGATGTGGAGATTATCTGACTGCCTTCCTTAGTGGTCACGCTGTCTGTGGTCACACTGTGGGTAGTTGGGATTCTGGATGTGGATGGATCATAAATTGCATTCTGGCTGCTCGTGCTTTTAGGATTTGTTGAGTCGGTGGTTGATGTGGTTGTAGGATCTTTAGTAGTTAGAAGAGAGGTGTTGCTCTCTGTGGCGATTGTGTTTTTCTGGGCTGAAGCTGATACCGCACTTATGACAGATGTTTTAGACGTGGGTACAACGCTCAGCGCAGTAGTCAGAGTGGGTGTCACAGTGGATGTCACACTGGATGTCACAGTGGATTTCTCAGTGGATTTCACAGTGGATGTACTTTGTTTGACTGTGGCTAAATCCGACTTCTGAGAAGTGGTTTTTTCAGGTGGTTTCTGGAGGGTTGAGTTGATACTTGTCATTCCTGTGTCATTTCCTACGGACAAAGACAATACAGAATCAATTAGGGTATTAACTGTAAGTCTTTCTCTCTCCGTTGCTCCAGCTCTTCCCCAGGATCCAGAGGCCTTGCTCTCATCCCTGCCATCTTTGCTGAAGGGTCTGGGCCCTTGATGTGCCCAGATTTCTCTGGGGGTCAAGAAGCCTCTAAGAGGGAGGCTGAGGAGAAAGCAGAGGAAGCCAAGAGAAATTCCGCTCCAGAGAAGGACTCAGCACCTAGCCCCACTGCCTGTGGGAGCCTGCAGTGAATTCTCTGCCCTCCCCATCCAGCCCCAGGCACACACCGTTCAAGGTTTCCACACCCCAGCAACAGAACCCTCATCATCCCTGCCTCCTTCTCCCAGACGCAGGAGCTTACAGAAAACACAAGAGACTCACACATATCCAAGTGCCCTGTTCTAAACACGCCACAAGGGACCTCTGTTCCTCTGGAAATCTATGTAGAAGGAGAAACTGAAAAAGTGAAATTACACAGATTGCTACTTAAGGACAACTCTGAGACACACTGAGGGGTTCTCTGAGTCTAGCCTGGGAGCTCAGCCTTGTCAGGGGGTCAGGGACTGAGCATATTAAAAAGCAGAGACATTACTTTGCCAATGAAGGTCCATATGGTCAAAGCTATGGTTTTTCCAGTAGTCATGTATGGATGTGAGAGTTGGACCATAAAGAAGGCTGAGCACCAAAGAATTGATGCTTTTGAACTGTGGTGTTGGAGAAGACTCTTGAGAGTCCCTTGGACAGCAAGCAGATCAAACCAGTCAATCCTAAAGGAGATCAGTCCTGAATATTCATTGTAAGGACTGATGCTGAAGCTACAACTCCAACACTTTGGCCACCTGATGCAAAGACTGAACTCATCAGAAAAGATCCTGATGCTGGGAAAGATTGAAGGCAGGAGGAGAAGGGGATGACAGAGGATAAGATGGTTGGCTGGCATCACTGACTCAATGGACATGAGTTTAAACAAGGTCTGGGAGATGGTGAAGGACAGGGAGGTCTGGCATGCTGCAGTCCATGAGGCTGCAAAGAGTCAGATATGACTGAGTGACTGAACAATAACAGGGATTGAGTGAGGGAACAGTTAAGTGACAGGTTCAAGCCCTGGGATTACAATGGAAAGTAAGACACAGATGCTTACTTGTGCAGCCCTAATGTTCTAGGACCCACAACAGATTTCCCAACCTGGCGATCCAAATTCTCAGGGAATTTGACTTTGAAGGCCAGCGGGATTTGATTACAGAACTTCCACAGGACTGGGGAAACAAACTCTTGGAGGGCACAAACAAAATCTTGTACACACCAGGACCTAGGAGAAAGGAGCAGTGATCCCACAAGAGACTGAGCCAGACTTGCCTGTGAGTGTCCAGGAGTCTCTGGCAGAGGTGTGGGTTGACAGTGGCCTGCTGTGGGGTCGGGGGCACTGAGTTCAACAGTCCTGGCTTAAGTTCTTCTTAAGGAGGTCGCCATTACCACCATTATTCCTACCATAGTTTGGAGTCAGGCAAACAGGGAGGGAACACAGTTCTGCCCATCAACAGAAAATTGGATTAAAGATTTACTAACAATGGCCCCACCCCGCCCATCAGAGCAAGACCCAGATCCCCCCACAATCAGTCCCTCCCATCAGGAAGCTTCCACCCCTCTTATCCTTATCCATTAGAGGGCAGACAGAATGGAAACCACAATTATAGAAAACTAACCAAACTGATTACATGGACCACAGCCTTGTCTTAACTCAATGAAACTATGAGCCATGCCGTGTAGGACCACCCAAAACAGACGGGTCATGGTGGAGAGTTCTGACAAAGGGGAAATTCTGAAGAAGGGAATGGCAAACCACCTCAATATTCTTGCCTTGAGAACCCCATGCATAGTATGAAAAGGCAGAAAGATACGACACTGAAAGATGAACTCTCCAGGTTGGTAGGTGCCCAATATACTATAGAAGAAGAGTGGAGAAATAACTCCAGAAAGAATGAAGAGATGGAGCCAAAGCAAAAACAGTGCCCAGTTGTAGATGTGACTGGTGATGCGAAGTAAAGCCTGATGCTGTAAAGAACAATACTGCACAGAAAGCTGGAATGTCAGGTCCATGAATCAAGGTAAACTGGAAGTGGTCAAACCGGAGATGGCAAGAGCGAACATTGACATTTTAGGAATCAGCGAACTAAAATGGACCAGAATGTGCGAATTTAATTCAGATGACCATTATATCTACTACTGTGGCAAGAATCCCTTACAAGAAATGGAGTAGCCCTCATGATCAACAAAAGAGTCCAAAATGCAGTACTTGGGTGCAGTCTCAAAAATGACAGAATGATCTGTTTGTTTCCATGGCAAACCATTTGATATTACAGTAATCCAAATCTATGCCCCAACCACTAATGCCAAAGAAGCTGAAGTTGAACAGTTCTATGAAGACCTACAAGACCTTCTAGAACTAACACCAAAAAAAAGATGTCCTTTTCATCATAAGGGACTGGAATGCAAAAGAAGGAAATCAAGAAATCCCTGGAGTAATAAGCAAGCTTGGCCTTAGAGTACAGAATGAAACAGGGCAAAGTTTTGCCAAGAGAATGTACTGGTCATAGCAACCACTCTCTTCCAACAACAGAAGAGAAGACTCTACACATTGACATCACCAGATGGTCAATACAGAAATCGGACTGATTATATTCTTTGCAGCCAAAGATGGAGAAGCTCTATACAGTCAGCAAAAACAAGACCAGGAGCTGACTGTGGCTCAGATCATGAACTCCTTATTGCAAAATTCAGACTTAAGTTGAAGAAAGTAGGGAAAACCACTAGACCATTCAGGTATGACCTAAATCAAATCCCTTATGATTATACAGTAGAAGTGACAAATATATTCAACAGGTTAGATTTGATAGACAGAGTGCCTGAAGAACTATGGATGGAGGTTCGTAACACTGTATTGGAGGCAGTGATCAAAATCATCCCCAAGAAAAAGAAATGCAAAAAGGCAAAATGGTTGTCTGACAAAGTGACGTTGCTCAGTCGCGTCTGACTCTTTGCGACCCCATGAACTGTAGCCTACCGTGCTCCTCCATGGGATTTTCCAGGCAAAAGTACTGGAGTGGGTTGCCATTTCCTTCTCCAAAAAACCACCTGGTGAGGAGGCCTTACAAATAGCTGAGAAAAGAAGAGAAGCTAAAGGCAAAGAAGAAAAGGAAAGGTATATCCATCTGAATGCAGAGTTCCAAAGAAGAGCAAGGAAAGACTAGAGATGGAATGGGAAAGACTAGAGATCTCTTCAAGTAAATCAGAGATACCAAGGGAACATTTCATGCAAAGATGAGCACAATAAAGGACAGAAATGGTATGGACCTAACAGAAGCAGAAGATATTAAGAAAAGGTGGCAAGAATACATAGAAGAGCTATACAAAAAAGATCTTAATGACCCAGATAACCATGATGGTGTGATCACTCACCGAGAGTCAGACATACTAGAGTGCAAATCAAGTGGGCCTTAGGAAGTATCACTACGAAAAAAGTTAGTGGAGATGATAGAATTCCAGTTGAGCTATTTCAAATCCTAAAAGATGATGCTGTGAAAGTGCTGCACTCAATATGCCAGCAAATTTGGAAAACTCAGCAGTGGCCACAGGACTGGAAAAAGTAAGTTTTCATTCCAGTCCCAAAGAAAGGCAATGCCAAAGAATGTTCAGATTACCACACAATTGGACTCATCTCACACACTAGCAAAGTAATGCTCAAAATTCTCCAAGCCAGGCTTCAACAGTACATGAACCATGAACTTCCAGATGTTCAAGCTGGATTGAGAAAAAGCAGAGAGAGGAACCAGAGATTAAATTACCAACACCCACTGGATCATAGAAAAAGCAAGAGAATTCCAGAAAAACATCTACTTCTGCTTCATTGACTATGCTAAAGCCTTTGACTGTGTGAATCACAACAAACTGTGGAAAATTCTCAAAGAGATGGGAATACCAGACCACCTGACCTGCCTCCTGAGAAATCTGTATGCAGGTCAAGAAGCGACGGTTAGAATAAGATATGGAACAGATGGTTCCAGATTGGGAAAGGAGTACATCAAGGGAGTTTATTGTCATCTTGCTTATTTAACTTACATGCAGAGTACATCATGCGAAATGTCAGACTGGATAAAGCACAAGCTGGAATCAAGACTGCCAGGAGAAATATCAATAACTTCAGATATGCAGATGACACCACCCTTATGGCAGAAAGCAAAGAACCAAAGAGCCTCTTGATGAAACTGAAAGGGGACAGTGAAAAAGTTGACTTAAAACTCAATGTTCAAAAAATGAAGATCATGGCATCCAGTCCCATCACTCCATGGCAAATAGATGGGGAAACAGCGGAAACAGTGGTAGACTTTATTTTTTTGGGTCCAAAATCACTGCAGATGGTGACTGCAGCCATGAAATTAAAAGATGCCTAGTCCTTGGAAGGAAAGTTATGACCAACCTAGACAGCATATTAAAAAGCAGAGACATTACTTTGCCAGTGAAGGTCCATCTAGTCAAGGCTATGGTTTTTCTAGTAGTCATGTATGGATGTGAGAGTTGGACGATAAAGAAAGCTGAGCACCGAAGAATTGATGCTTTTGAACTGTGGTGTTGGAGAAGACTCTTGAGAGTCTCTTGGACTGCAAGGAGATCCAACCAGTCCATCCTAAAGGAAATCAGTCCTGAATATTCATTGCAAGGACTGATGTTGAAGCTGAAACTCCAATACTTTGGCCACCTGATGCGAACAGCTGACTCACTTGAAAAGACCCTGATGATGGGAAAGATTGAGGGCAGGAGGAGAAGGGGACAACAGAGAATGAGATGGTTGCATGGCATCACTGACTAGATGGACATGAGTTTGAGCAAGCTCCAGGAGTTGGTGACGGACAGGGAAGCCTGGCATGCTGTAGTTCATGGGGTC